CAGGATCATCACTCGGGAGCTCTGAGGCCAGCTTGGACTACACAGTGAGACCCTGTCTGAACCAAACCAAACCATTAGTGATCCTTAAAAGCCTTTCCTTCTGGGCTGGCAAGATGGCTCAGTGGATAGAGATATTTGTCACCAAACCTGACAAAGCCGAGTTTGATCCCTGGAAGAAGATAACTGATTCCTATAAGATGACCTCTGACTTCCACTTGAATATAATAGCACTTGTCCCCAGACATATACACTTGCGCACATGTAAGTAAATTTAAAAAAAAAAAACAAAAAACAAAAAAAACCCAACTTTTTGTTGTTTTTCAAGACAGGGTTACTCTGTGTAATGCTGGCTGTCCTGGAACTCGCTCTGTAGACTAGCCTGGCCTCAAACTCACAGAGATCCGCCTACCTCTGCCTCCTGAGCGCTGGGATTAAAGGAGTGTGCCCGGCAAAATTACCTTTCTACCAATGCTGTCTAGAAACGGGGTTGGAGGGTACAAAAGGAAAACTAGAATGAGTTAGCCTCAGCTTTCCTCTCCTAACCACTCAGAACTAATCCACCATCTGCCCTCATGCTGGCAAGTAATTCATAGAGGCAAGAAAAGAGAAGAAACATGAGCGCTAAATTAAGTTAGAATCCAGAGAGCTAAGAAATTATGAAAAAGTGACGGGATATATTAGGTCCGTATTCTACCTCATTTCTTTTTCTTTTCCCAAAATCTGAGTCTGGTCATGTAAGTAGTGACAGGGGAAAGTGATTTTTTTCTTTTAGACTTGTGTATGTTATTCTATGTGTATGGACTGTGCCTGCATGCATGTATGTGCACCTTGGCCTGGGGCCAGTGGAGGCCAAGAAGGCACCAGATCCCCTAGAATTGGAGTTACAGATTTTTGGGAGCCACCACGTGGGTGCTGCAAATCAAACCCGGGTCCTCTGCAAGAGCAGCAAGTACTCCTAACCACCAAGGGATCTCTCCAGGACCCACAAACAGGGATTTTAAAAACAAAAGTATCCAGCAGCTAGACATGGCTGGCATACATTAATAATCCTAACATATGAGATGGAGGCAGGCGGATTCAGAGTTCAAGGTCAGCCCCAGCCACGTACCTAAGCCTAGATTTCTGAGACTCTGTCTCAGGAAACAAAGCACCTACCAAAACCCATTAATCTGGGGATAGTGTAGAGATTCCATAAACTGTCTGACATGGTTGTTACTTCTTTTTTTTTCTTCCCTTCTAGCAGTTTCCAAAAGGATTAGGGCCCTCAGGGGAGCTGGCAATAATAATGTATTTCAAAACGAGTCCCAGAAAATGGTTCTTAGTGCCTAAGAAAACCTGACATATTTTCATCTAATGAGCCTTTTAGTTTAATATACTACTCCCCAAACTGTTTCACAAAGCATAGGTCTTCTTATCCTGAAGCAAAGCAGCAACAGCCCATTCCACTTCTCATTTGGGATGAATCTGCAAACTACAGCGATAGGTTTTAGCAGAAAAAAGGTTAAGTTCCGAACACTTCGACATGAGCCTCTCATAGCAGCTGGGCACATGTTTCAAGAGAAGCAAACGCTCACCGGGCATGGTGGCTCTTGCCCACGATGCCGGAACTCAGGGGGGAGGAGGAGGAGGAGGAGGCAGCTGGGTTTAGAGTGAGTTCTAGGCCAGCCGAGGCTACATATGGAGACCCTGCTCAAAAATAAACAAGGGCTGGAGAGATGGCTCAATGGTTAAGCAAGCACTGTTTTGCAGAGGACCAGAGTTCAATTCCTAGCATACATATCAAACAGCTCACAACCATCCGTAACTCCACCTCCAGGGATCTTATGGCCTCCAAGGACACCTACACATAGCTACTCTCTCTCTCTCTCTCTCTCTCTCTCTCTCTCTCTCTCTCTCTATATATATATATATATATATATATATATATATATACACACATATATAAAATATATAATGTGCATATATATTATTATATAAATAAACCTTTGGGACTATAGAGATGGCTTGGCACTGGATACTCTTCCAGAGGGCTGGAGTTGGGTTCCCAGTAACCACATAGCAGCTAATAGAACTATAACTCCAGTTCCAGTGGGTCTGACGCCCTCTTCTGGCCTCCAAGAGTACTGCACACACATGGACCATAGACACACATGCAGAAGTAAAACATCCATGCAGTAGTAAAACACCCATACACATAAAATAAAAATAAATAAATCTTGAAAATAGATCTTAAAAATAAACACACACAGAGACAGACAAGAAGAAAGTGTGTGTGTGTGTTTGAAAGAGAGAGAAGAGAGCACGCGAGCGAGCGAGATACTGACTTGACTATAGGTTGCTTCTCTAGGTTAGTTCAGAGGAAGAAATTGAATGCTTCCAAAACCAAGAGAGAAATGCAAATACTTATTTTTTAAAATTATTTATTTTTATTTTATGTGCATTGGTGTGAGGGTGCTGGATCCCCTGGAACTGGAGTTATAGACAACTGTGAGCTGCCATGTGGGTGTTGGGAATTGAACCAGGGTCCTTTGGAAGAGCAGCCACAAACAAAAATGTAATCCTTTCATCTTACTTCTTTTCCTTTCTAAAACTAGCAGTCAGCCAAACAGATGGGCTGATCTGAAGGCAGTCCTCCTGACCCTGGATTAGCAAATTCGAGCAGCAGAAAGCATACACAGGCAGCCCGGGGAAAGAGAGGCCAGGCAGCCCGGGGAAACGGGGCACAGGCAGCCCGGGGAAAGGGAGCCCAGGCAGCCCGCGGGAATGGGGCACAGGGGCTGCCTGTGCCAGCATGCTGTCTGCTGTTTTCCAGGGGCTGGAGAGATGGCTCAGCGATTAAGAGCACTGGCTGCTCTTCCAGAGGACCCAGGTTCCATTCCCAGCATCCACAAGGCAGCTCACCGCTGTCTGTGACTCCTGCTCCAGGGAATGTGACCCCCTCACACAGACACACATGCAGGCAAAACACCAATGCACACAAAATACAAATAAATAACTAGGATATTTTCCAGTACGTAAGACGAAGCTACGCAACTAGGAACCTTTCAGACACATATCAACTGTTGGAAAGAGCTGTCACATTTGGTCTGAGCAAGTTCTGTCACTCATCACGCCCCCACAGCAGTGCCGGGGAAGCACAGAAAGACAGTTCTCAGATGTGAGGGACACAACTGGAAGAAACTGTGACAGTTCCCCGTCTACCCACCACTTTTTGTTTCAAAAATATTTTAGGGGCTGGAGAAACGACAGCTCGGCAGCTCAGGACACCTGTTGCTCCTGCACAAAGGATCTGGGTTCAATTCCCGGCACCGACAAGGCAGCTCACCGCAGTCTGTAACTCCAGGGGATCTAAAGCCCTCTTCTGACCCCCCTCAGGCACTGCACAGACATGATGTACAGCACAGACGGAAGCAAAATCCCCATGCCTATGAATTTTTTTTAAAATCCTTAAAAAAACATTTTATTTATCTCTGTGTATGTGCATATGTGTGCCTGAGTATGTGTACCACATGAGGGCAGAAACCAGAGCTCCAGGTGGTTGTGAGCAGCCCGGGGAGGGCACTAGAACTGAACCCAGATCCTCTGCAAAAGCAGCAAATGCCCTTAACTGCTGGGCCACCTCACCAACCCCATGCATTTCCCCCCTTGAAAGGGGTGGTTGTGTCGTGCCAGGTCACGGTGGCAGTGTGTGAAGAACAGGGAGGCAGCATGGGAACTTGGCCACAAAAGACCTGGGATCTCAGCTCCGCTCAGCCATTACCTTGAAGTCAGGGTAAGCCATAGAAACCCTTTTTAGGTTTCTGGCCAACACATGCATCTGGCTAGAGAAATCTCTAAGGACCAGTTCAGGTATATTGAGGATCCTGTGTGCAGGAAACAGAAAGTTCATCGTCCGTGTCTTTCTCTGAGAAAATAAGTATCCGTAAGTAGAGCCGGTTTGGTTTCATTTTTGGTTTTGTTCTTGTTTGAGGCGAAGTCTCTCTCACTCTATAGCCGAGACTGGGCACGAATTTTCAATACTTTTGCACTGAATGTTGTACTATGTTTGTACAAGAATGTGTCACTTGTTACTGTTGGGTAACTCGGGACCCCCTGTCCTTTCAAGGTGTTTCCTGTTTGGCTGCTTTCCTGCTTGCTACAAGGTAGAGAGTTTCAGAACTCCCGACAACACTTGGGAAAGTAAGCCATCTAGGCATCCCTAATCGTGTGTGGTTCATAAGCCACAAAGACCTAGTGAATGAAGTCCTTTGTTATATGTGGGTTTTGCAAAAAGAAAAAAAAAAAGTAAAAGGGAAGTTATGATACAACATCCAAATTACTCTCCTAAGTTCCATCCATAGGCACTTGTTGTGGATTTGCTTCTAGGGCAAAGAATTCAAATGACAGGGGGAAAAAAAGGGAGAAAGCAAGGGCAGATCAGCTGTAATGCAGAAGATCAGCTGTAAAGCAGCAGGGCACTGACATCTCCTTGTCCATCGGGGCTGCCACGACGGGATACAGAGGGAAAGAGGTTTCAGGGAGCTAACTTGCTGGCACAGAGGGAAACAGACCTAAAGAGAAAGTAACTCGGTCAGGGTGACGCAGTGGGGCCCTGGGCCTGAAAGCCGACAGCGGTGACACATTAGAAGCTGGGCGTTCGGAACCCCGGCGACCAGGGGCGGCGGGGCCGGGTACCACCGCCAGCCACAACCCACGGCCACTGCGCCGGGACCCTGGCTCCTGTCAGAGGCGACTGTCCTCCCGCGGGCCACAGCCCTGTAACCCCAAACTCCGGCAGCCTCGCCCTCCTCTGGGAAAATCGTCCCGGGCCTCCCAGGCCGCGGTAGGCGCTCCAGGCCCTCCCGGAGCCACCCTCGCTGACCCACGCCCCCCGGGACGGACCGAGGTGAAGCTGAAGCCCGCCACGCCGTGGCCTGCCTGTGGCCCCGTCCCAAGGCCCAGAAGTCCGAATTTCGGGGACCCCAAGGGCTTAACTGCCCCCCTTCACTGCAGGGACTCACCGGGGACAGCAGCCAGCAGCGGCGCAACAGCAACAGGGAACCCAAAGGCCCGTGGGCGGGGCTAGAGGCCAAAGGGACGGGCAAGCCCCGCCCACGGCGTCACAACAGCCACAAGCCCCGCCCCGCCGCCGGCCGCCCGGGACTCGTAGTGTCTTGGATGACGCTATCCTAGATCCATCCTAGAGCAAACTGTCTTTTTTATTTTTATTTTTTTTAAATTTGTTTAAAGTTGCGTCTTTGAAAGGGTATTGAGAGTTTATCTTACTTTTCCTGCCTCTACATAAAACTTCATGCACTATAGATACTTAGTGCTATAGATAGAGATGATTGCATATATATATACATGTGTACGTATAGATACAGATAAGATTAGATAGATAGATAGGTAGTCCTATAGATACAGATTAGATTCTGCCATTTCATCCTGCTTCATACACACACACACACACACACACACACACACACACACACACACACACAAACAATCAGGCTTGGTAGTAGATACCTGTAATTCCAGCATTGGAGGTCAGCCGTCCAGGGCCAGATTTGGCTGCAAAGCAAGTTTGAGGCCAGCCTAGGCTATCTGAGACTTTGTCTCAAGAAAAAGAAAAAAAAAATTGTGTCTCACACCCGACCTTAAAGGAAATCTATAAACCTTTCTGAGTCTCTTGTGACTTGACTCATAAAGTAAGTTTCTGTTTGTTTTTGTTTATTTTATGTGAATGGGTGTTTTGCCTGAATATGTATATCCACCACTTTCGAGCCTGGGGCCCAGAGGGATCGGAAGAGGATGTTGGATCCTCTGAAACCGGAGTTATGGATGATTGTGAGCCACCATGTGGGTGCTGCGAATACAACCCAGGTCCTCTGCAGTAGCAACAAGTGCTCTTAACCAAGGAACCAACTCTGCCTGAGACCAGCTTTGGCGAGGGTGGGGGTGGGGGGTGGGGTGGGGGCTGAGGGTAGGGTGGGATGGGGTTAGGGGTATGGGGTGGGGTGGTGGTTGGGGGTAGGGTGGGGGCTGAGGGTAGGGTGGGATGGGGCTGGGGGTGGGGTGGGATGGGGTTAGGGGTATAGGGTGGGGTGGGGGTTGGGGGGCTTCGGGATGGGGTTGGGGGCTTGGGGTGGGGTTGGATCTGAGGGTAGGGTGGGGTGGGAGGGTGGCTCAGGTCCCAAAGAGGATGTATGGAGTGGGTGAGGGCAAAGTAGGAGACTGACATGATCTGAGGGTGAGTTGGGATGGCTGCCAGACAGTTTATTTAAAGAATACACCTTTGATAATTTATAGTTGCACATAGGATTAAATGGGGGTGGGGTATGAGAGCTGGGGTGTATCTTGAGATCAGGGATTGGGGAAGCTAGCATTGACCTTGACAAGTTAATAGGCACCAGTTATATGGTAATGGAGGGCCACAAATTCCTTTTGCCAGAGATCAGAATGACTCCCTTTTTAGCAATCAGGAACTTTCTTCAAGTCCCTGAAGGAATGGCTGATTTTGTCTAATTTG